AAAGGTTTTCCTGTTTCTTTATTTGGGGCCCGCAGCTGAAGTAGAGATGAAGGACTGTTGTTCGCTTCCTCTTTAATAAAAAAAGAAGCATGTCTATGTGTATCCACATCAGTCTGGCCGTGTTTATGTTCTACTACTAGTAAAGGCTTTTATGTAATCTATAAAGTGGCCTTGAGCAGTTGTTATCCAGACTTTCAGATTTTTTTTTTCTTCTTAGGACCCAAGTTTGATGTATACCGTATAAATTGAATCTTATTGTAATTATTTCTTTACTTGTCCTTGTACTTGAACATTTTTTTAGAGGAATGATTTTTAGAGTCCACTGCAGTGAGTTCATTCAGGCAAAAGAAAAATAAACAAACACACAGACACTTATACAGACAATCCATCTCCACAACCAGTTTGGCTTTTGGCTAATATTTCAAATTCTTTTCCACCCATTGTGCCATGTGTTCACAGGCTGGAGAAGATGGGTTAGAACTTGTACCAGACAAATCTAAACTGTTCTAAAAGTTAGTTTTGGGCTAAAACCTGCTACATGTATTTATTTATTTTAAACTTGCCTACTAATCGGTGTATCTATTCTCATGATAGACTTGATACATTATCACAATACATGGGAGATAATTCAGTATCGCTTCATAAGAAGGTTGAAATAACCTGAACTTCATTTTTCAGTGCACGGCAACTACCTATTTCAAAGTCACACAGAGCACATGCTGTGAGGACTTATCTAATCTCTTTTACAAGATGACCCTTCATTAATTCAAGGACAAAGGAAGACCCAAAACCCAAGGGATGGACCCGTGTCCTGTCTGCACAGTGCTGGGCAGTTTGCCTTGTGGAAAAATGAAAACCACTGCTGGGTGCCCCTACAGCCAGCCTCACCAGCTAGGGATGTTTAACACAAGGCTGGCTCCATTTTCAGTTTGCTAAAAACCCTCTTCCAGCAAAAGAGCCTTTGAAATGGCAAAAGGCAGCAGAGGTGCCAGAGAGCATAAATGGCTTATGTTGATTATTTCACTTACGGGCTAATGATACAGTGAGTTCTGACGGGAGGAAATGTGCGAAGACATGGCGTCAGAACGCTGTGGTTTCCATAGAGATTAATGGAAGCCCCTGACCCCGCAATCTGTAATTTTCTGACTGGCTCTTCTAGGTGTAATGCTGTCATTGCTAATGTATGCAAGACACAGGGGGCTGATTTCCATTCACAATACCAAGTCATTTCTGTTTTATGTGATATGCTTTACTTCAGGGCTTTTCAAAGTCTGAGACTTTGTTTACCGTCGGACAAAGATCGAAAAACAGTCTCCACAGTTGCCCCTCTGCTTAGTTCTATGAAATTCCCAGATGCCTGTAAAACCGGAATTATGGATTTTAGTGCCTTACGTTGCTGTTCTGTACACCCAGACTACATTAACTACATCAACTGCCTTCTCTGAGGTATCTATTGGTTTCTGATCTTGACATAAAAACAAAGTAAAAATTTCCTTGAGCTGTTATAGCAGAGCTCTTACAAATCATCACACACACGTGTATATATAATCTTCAGACCAGTGTTTCTCAAATGGAGCCCCAAGGAACACCTGATGCTTTGAAAACCAGTTAAGGACTTTTATAACATAAGTACACACATTGTTTTAACTAGCAGTAATACTCTTAACTATTACTAATGACTAGTACTAATGATATCACTAATAAACGTATCCATAGTGCATCCATGTTCCTATTCTGTCTGAAAATAAAAGCACCATTGCTCACACACACATGTGTGTATATATATATATATATATCTATCTATATATGACGTGTATATAAATAATATACTTTTCTAGCCGAGTCAAGAAAACAACACGTCTGTTCACCACATTTGCGTAATCTTTCCCTTGAGTGGGCCATAAACGTCCTAACTTGTCCTACAGATGCACGCTGCAAAGGCCCTGAATGCTCTCTGCGCTGCATCTTAGAAAAACCACGCAAAATACTCAGGAAACCAAGATAATGTTCCCCAGTTCACTGTATGACATGCAACCGATTTTAAAGGCCAAATGAATGGGGAGAAAAAAAAGGGAGCTAAACAAGCCAAGAAAAGATGACTCATGCTATCAGCGCATTTAATCAGAGCCACATTTGAGCTTTTACAGGATCATTGAGGGCCGCTTAACCTTCTTGCGTGAGCTACAAAGTTAAGCAGACCGAGCTAAGGTGTCGACTCACTTTCTTGACTACGTGCTCGCACTCTTGTTGTGTCTCTGGGGAGCAATTGCTCACTCAAATTGCCGCGTCGGTCCCTGGTACTTGCGGCGCCGTCCGCGTTTGTAGATTTTTTCCCCCGTTTCGCCCCACAGATGCTGTCACATTAGTGAAGATGTTCCATCCACGTGCACACAGTGTACAAAAAGCCCGCAAAGATTCAACCCTTCTCCTTATTTTTCTTTTTGGGTCGTTTTTTTTTTTCCCGTTTTGTTTTTTTGTTCCCAAATCCTTCAGCTTTAATCCCACGTATCCACATTGTTTGCAATACTGGAGCCTTTGAAGCCGTAAGGCTCTTTTTTGCAGTTCACAGGCTTTCACCATTCCATTCAGTCATCCTCTGCCATCTGCCGACGTCATCTTTCCATGCTTCCCCCTTTTTTTTTTTTTTTTTTTTTTTTTTTGTTTGGTTTCGGTAACCATTACAAGACCAGCTCCATCCTCCGCCCCCGCATCCCTCTGCCTGTGCCACACACTAATGTTATTTCATCACACTTACTGGAGCACACATCCTGATTGCTACCAGGTGAGGCAAGCTGCCATGGCACACACACACACACACACACACACACGCACACACATGCCTGCACGACACGCCTGGGGCAGTGCAGTCTGGAGTGGGGTTCTTTGGAACAGTGACGCACATGGATGACATTTCCTCGTTGATGACTGTGTGTGTGTGTGTGCGTGTGTAGTGGGATATCGTGTGTTTTTTTTTCTTTTTTCTTTTTTTTTTCTTCTCCATATTGTCAGATTGGCGGTTGTCATTTGCAGGTGTTAAATGGCACATTGTCCACAGGTTGATATTCCACTGGAATTCGTGTGGGTTTTTTTTTTTTTTTCCACCCAAAGCGACAGGCAACAGATGCCCACCCGACACCCCCTCCCCACCGGCCGGCGGCCGCAGGGCTCGGCGCTTGACGCTGTAAGGTGTCCAGAGGTGATCCGAAGTGCTTGTTTGCGCAGATGTGAGCATCCGCTGTTTTTCCTCTCCCATGCCGGTGCTGCTCCCTCTGGCCCACTGGCCCCCTGCCGTTTCGGCCAGAGGTCAGCGAGGCGAGCCTTGGCTTCCTGTGTGGCCCTGAGACAGGGGGCCGGGATGTCTGGGGGGGGGGGGGGCTCTGGGGGCCTCCTGAGAGCACATCTGCTGCTCTGCTCTGCAGGACTCAGCAGCGACACAGACAGGAAGCGGTAATTAGGACGAGAGGAGGTTCGCACTCGTCTCTCCCACTGTTTCTCACTCTGGAAAGACAAATGCTCATAATTACATGTGGTTGAGAGGATTGTGGTCCTCTGATGTGAGGCAATTTAATGCTTCATTTATTCACCTTCGACGCTTTTGTAATCCATCAGTGAGTGCAACATTTTGTACACCAGAGTACTATCAAAGCCGCTTTAAAAAAAAAAACACAAAAAAACAGGCTGATGATGATAGCGTAATTTAGTCATTATTTTGGTCGGGCACAACAATGATATAAAAACGGGTGTCATTGACTGGTTCTGATGGAGAGTTGGCAATCCTTTCAGTGGAGTTATACAGCATTGTTCTGCTGGTGAAAATCAATGTTGTCAGAATGGTGCAGATGTATATATATATATTTTTTTTTTATTAAAGAGAATTGATTTTTGAGAACACCAACTTCACCACATTTTGGTTTGTCTGTCCCAAAACCATTTCAAAGCAAAGGACCGTAAGACCTTGTGAGTCTTAAAAAATTAAAGAAAAGAAAACGCTGTTTACAATGTCTCCGAAAGTAATTAGTTTGATGGTTAAAGTTGTTATATTATCAGGACCCTCAGTATTTATCTATTATCATCCTCAGTTTATCTTGTGTCTAATGAATTACTGAGGAAAAAGCAGGATTTAGGCTGTGCTGTGAGAGACTAAAAATACACATTTGCACAGACAACTGTGGTTTATAGTAGTATTTGAATTTGGATCAAACATACCGGTAGATAGAAATGCGGAGATTAATTAAAAAATAACAAAGAGCTTTCTAGCACCCAAACATGTCTGGCCTTGTTGTGGTTTGACAAAGATTCTCAGTTGTGATTTTTGGGTGGGGGGGCCTTTTGGGTCTGTGGGACACTCTTGAATATCTGTTCAAGCGTGTCCCACCGATGCACGGTTGGATTGGAATCTGGGGAGTTTTGGGGTCAGGCAGATATCCTTGGCTCTCGGTTCTGTTCTCGGTGCGGCCGGCTTTGGTATTCTGCTGGGGGAGACGGCTTCTCTCAGGCAGGGCTGTTACCATGGGGAGGAGAGTCGGGTCTGCAACATTGCTCTGAAGGGTCTCGATGAGAAAAGAACATCCGAGGCCCAAAGTGTCCCAGAAGTGTTTTTTTTTTCTTTTTTTCCCCCGAAATATCGTGGGTAAATCGTACGGGTAACTGTGTCTTCAAAAGAGACGTAGAACTCAAGATTCTTCCCTTTTTATTCATGTTTTGGACAGGTCATCTCATTTAATTGTCAAATGCATTAAAACCTTAGCTGAGATATATATATACAAGTATTAGATACGACACAAAGGAAGCTGTGAACGTGATTCATGTCAGTAAATGGTTCTATTCTTGGAAAAAACTATCTTTTTAATTCTAAGGGGAGAGCAGCCAAGTTCATTCCTTTTACAGAAGAACTTTCCTGTGATGTGTGTGTGAGTGGAGAGTGTGTTTTCATGCAGACAAACCCTCATGCATGCATGTGCTCTCTTGACTCCTCTAATTAGTGCCGTTTCTCCCCCCAGGGTGCTGTTTATATCCTGGCGGACAGATGGGCAGGAAGAAATAAAAGCGTCTGTCCAGGTGAGCGTTTCGAACTTCTTTTAACCGTCTGCATATTTTTTGCCTCCTCCCCTGAGCGCTTTGACCCTGGGCTTTGTTTTACAGGCCCTCCAGCTGACCTGTGGGCTCAGTCCGGGCTGCGGGGCTTTGTTTGTCGACGGGCGTCTATGTGAGTGAGGGCTGATGAAGTCCAGCATGAGGCAGTGGAGGCGGATGGTGCTGGTGGCCATGCTGGCCTGGGTTCTCCTCTTTCTTGGCCTCCTCTCTTACTTCCTGGACGCTCGCGTGGACGAGCCCCTGACCTCCGCCGGCTCTTTGCTCTCCCAGCACCCCGACACGCGCCGGCTGGCGTCCATACAGGCCTCGCATCAGCAGCAGCAGCAGCACGCCGTCTTGGGCCCCAGGCCCGAAGCCGCTTTGCCAGCAACTCCCACCTTTCGGAGGGACAAGCCAGAGCCACAGCCCTCCACACGCTCCACCACCCCCGAGACCGGTGCGGAGGCCAGTCGCATTCCAAACGGTTCTCCCTACGCCACTTACGGGAGCCAGGAGGCGGAGCCCCGGGATTACCTGGACCCGCAGAGCCTGGCGGCCTGGTCGTCCTTCGGCACAGAAAATGTGGGTTCCCACTCAGACCCTGTGGTCCAGAGTCGCGAGAGAACATCTCTGAACCGAGAGTACCAAAACCACGTCGGCACCACCCGTGACCGCGGTGGTGAGGAGGAGGAAGATGGTGGAGAAAACGAGGACGAAGAACTGGACAACAGAGTGAGGACTACGGCTCGCCGGAGGGCCGGCGGCGACTCCTCGGATCTGGAGGAGTACTACTTCTCCAAATCTGCCTCGGTGGTGCAGCGGCTGTGGAGGGGCGGCGCCTCGGCCGGCATGCTGAGCCCCCGGCTGCAGCGCGCCATGAAAGACTACATGAGCGCCAACAAACACCACGTGTCCTACAAGGGCCGCCGCCGGGCCGCCCAGAGCGCCCGGGACCTGCTGTGCCAGATAAAAGCCCAGGCCCGGCTCAGGACGGTGGACGGGTCGGAGCAGCCCTTCTCCGCGCTGGGCTGGGCCGGCCTGGTGCCGTCCCAATCTCTGGAGCATCTGTACAGACGGCAGGGACAGGAAGGCTTCAGGACCTGTGCGGTCGTCACCTCTGCCGGCGCCATCCTGCGCTCCGGCCTGGGCAAAGAGATCGGTGAGTAACGAGACGCGGATTGTAAGATTATCCAATAGTCCATACCACGCACCTTAGTCCACTTTTATTGGATTGGTTTTCGGGGAACGGTTTACACTCTTGATACGCTTTATTGTTGTTGTTCTGCACATTGCAGATGTAAGATGCACCAAAGCTGACATGAAAATACTAATCGGGACCTTGTTAAGGGTATGGGCTCCTGTCAAAAGCTCAGATATTTTGGAGTGGCCAGAAACGGCTTATTTTGACCAGGTTTGTCTTGGCAAACTAGTTGTTAGATGGGCATAAAGCCTAGGTGTCCCAGAAAATAATACATTTACAAGTCGTCTAGAGGTGTGTGGGAGGGGGAAAAAAACTGAAAGTGTAAAATATGTTGCAGAAATAGATGTTGAAAATTACAGCAGGAGGTGGAAGTGTTCTGCTTGTATATACCAATTGTGATGTGAAAAATCTCTGACTGCCCTAGATGCAAAGTGACAAAAAAAGCACCGTACAGATAGGAAAATTACAAGGTGCTATCTTCTGGGAAGCAGAAGAAATAGAGATTTGTTTACGCGGGCAATTATTTTTTCTGCATTGATGGCCACTTTAAGTTACATTTTAATGTTTCTGTTACTTTTATGAAAGAGATATTGGCTCAGTGATGACTTATTTTGTTATTTGCTATAAGTTTCATGCAAATCTTAGCTTTGATTTATTTTTTTATAGGGTTTTCTTAAAGTAAAATGGGCGTTATGTGTTTCCTATAAATCCTATGGCATTTCATAGACTGACGAAAAAAAAAAAATAGCAGTTGTGCAAATGTAATTGTTAACTTTGATACTTTGCTTTGATGATGTAGGTGCTATTTGGATGAAAATATGCCTTTTTAAGCAGGCATTGTTTGAACGTTGTATTTTTTATATTTGCACGTTTTAACTATGATCGGGAAATGCTTTGTGGAAGCAAATCTGTTGCTTAAACCTCGAGCCTTTAGTCAATATCCTTAAATTTACCCTCCCATTTGTCAATATTTTAAAAGTCAATTGTAGTTTTGTTTGCATATCCTAGAAATACCGTGAGGGAAAGCGTGAAAAGGGCAAACACAGGAAGCTTGACAGACAGAGACTTGCAGGTGTCGCATTCTGCTTAAAGGGTTAACTGAGAATAGAGCCCATTACATCCAGCAGGTCAGAGGGTTCACTTCATCTTTTTGCTGTGAAACCAGTAACAAGTGTTAAGTTTCATTACATCTACTGGTACTTTGAAGGTCACGGGGTTTAATTACCAGTCTGAAGTGAGCTGCATCGGTTTTATAAGGCAATTCCAGATTGATATGTTAAGCTGTGGCCTTTTTGTGTTTTGAATGTGTGTGTGTTCCTGGTTAGAGAATTTTGGCAGCTCTTGAGTAAGTGGGGAAAGTGTGAACTCGGCGACAGATGGCTCCCTGGAAAAAAAAAAGAAAGGGAAAAGAAAAGGACCCCCTCTGGTGACCAATCAGGCTTATTCGCATCACATATAGTTTCTTTGCATGTCTGTAGGAGTTCAGCCTTTAAGGGCAGAAACCAGAAAAATGAAGAGGATTAGAGCTTTATTTGTTATTGTTTGCATTTCTGTTCACTACCCTGTTCATTTCACCACTGGCTGACCCAGATTACAATGCCCTAGAAACGATAGCAGACTATGGAGACGCGTTCTGGGGCATATCGGATTCGGGTTCTGTGAATCTGCATCTGACCCTGCGGTTGCGCCGGAGCCGACTTATTGTGCTGTCAGAGGAAATGTTGCTGTTTTGCCCTCAGCCTTCTAATACTTGCACCTCCCCGGGAAGCTTTCCTTAATGTGAAATATGCTTTTGGCACTATCCCTGCAAATTAAAAGATGCTGACTAAACCAGTTTTCAACCACACCTCTAACAGTTGGCGTACCTTCTTTTGTTTTTTTTGGCTAATCAAATGAATAAAAAACAAACGGCTGTTGTGTGTTCGTGTGAATAAGAATATAAGATCTTGCAGCATGATTAAGAAAAACAGGCTTAGAGATCTGCTCTCTTTATTTTGGGACCATCATCCTCCTTGTGTCTGGTTTGTGCCGTGCTGCTGGTTTCTTGTGAGCCACATGGCCGTTGTTGTATACTTTTGTAAAGAGAAGGCTCAGCAGAAGACCGGCTTTGTCGACGTCTCCATCCAGAATTCTTGATAAAACTAGGTGTCAAACATTATTGATATGATTAACTATTGAGCAGCCACCCAGTGCTTGGCTTTACGTGGCATTCATTCTCAGGCTCAGAATCTATAGGAAATCAAACCGCATCGATCTGGCTCTGTTTACTTCTCAGCCCGCCGTCCTTCCCAGAAGGCCAGTCGGACCTCGATTTGTCAATGAGTGCTGATGGTAATTATGATTGGAAAATGAATGAAAGTAACCTTTCTTTCCTGGCATTTTGATGCGAGATTGTTGGCTGCAGCCCAGAGTTCAGAACGTGGGAGTATTCATGCTCAGACCTTGCCTCAGGTTTGGTGTCTGAATGCGAGACGATGCTCTGCTGCCATCATGTGGGGATGGAATGCAAAACAAGGGACCATTTCTTGGTTACACCAGGCTCAGCGAAAGGGTCTCTCAAGTTATTTTTCGTCTTTCTGAACAGAGTCTGTTGTTTTGTGAATTTTCTGACCCTGGTCTTTCTTTGTTGAAGCTTTTCAAAGATTTGCTCATTTCTTTTAGTAGATTTTTTTTTTTTTCCTTCAAATAGAATCAGAAGATCGAGATCTCATCTTTAGAGTGTTTTCTGTTCTGGTTCCCTCTGGTGGTAATATTTGCTACTACACAGATCCGGGACTGGACCTCTTTGTACTGGTCTCATTGTTCCGCTAGAATTAAATAATATAAATTATATTAAGACATCTGAAATGTCCTTTTCAAAAAAAGGAAAACATTTTTTTTTGTGGAAGTTGTCAAAATATTTTTACAATTGTAGGCTCTCCTGCTGAGGTCTCCATTGACCCATTTTACTGCTGTGGAAGTAAGTTGCATTTCCACAGGAGTGAGCTGGCGCCTTTTTGAATAGATTAAATGCAAGTCAAAAGTGGTTCGTGTCTGTCATCAGTTTTCTATACCTGTGAGGAGATGGGGTCTAATCCGACTGTTATTCTGCATAGAGGAGGAAACAACCTGGACAGGTCACCTGTGCATATGTCCAAAATGGATATTTTGTTGTCATGTTTTCTTGGTTCTAGTTTCAGTTCTTCTACTTAAATTTCCTCTGTTTCCGTTTGTTGTCTGGTCTGTTGTCTTCTCTGTGTTTCCTGTTCACTTCTTCCATGTTTGTGCCACCATAGCTTCTGGTAATCTCCTTTCTTTCTCCATAGTATTATGTTAATCTGGTGATCAGCTGGACTCACTTTACCTGTGCTCCCTGCCTTTATTGACTAATCACCCTCCCCGGTATTAAACCTCTCTGGTTCCTATCTTTCTTCGTCAGATCCTCAATGCCAGTCCGTCATCTGTCCATCTGTTCCTCCGTCTGTTCTTTGTCGTCTTATTATTCTGTCCCCTGGTCCTAGTTCTTTAGGTTATTGCTATTTAGTTTGTCCCCCTGATACTCCGATAATGATTTATATTAAATTCAAAAGTAAAATCATCAGGAGTTAATATATTTACACCTTACTTTGAATCAAAACTTGCTGAGTGGGAGTAATTTGTTTGGTTTGGATTGATCTGTCTGCCATAATACTGGGAATAAAGAGAAACTCCTGCTCTTGGCCACTTTCCAAAGATACTAAGAGCTGCGTAAATCAAAGCTGGAACTGAGCGGGAGGCAGAACACACTCGAGGGTTCATCATCCTGGATTTTCCCGAATAGGTAAACAGGCTAAAATTATTTTAGTAATATTTGGTTTCCACCCTTTTCACTGCTATGATCTCCGGGCGTATTTGTCATATCCTCAGATGGTGCATTTGAGCTGTTTTTAAACCTGTAGAGCTCCTCTCGGAGGAGCTCAATGGGAAGTTTAGCGGAATGAAAAAGGGTCAGCAAAAGAGGCATTGCTTCATTTGTAGGTTTCACTCTCCCAGAAAAGATTGAAAATCACAAGCTGCAGGGAAAAAAATGATTTCAATAGAGAGACATGAGTTTCTTTTTAATCTAAAAGTGGAAACATGTCAGCCAAATTTGACTCTTCTCCCCACTTCACAAAGGGAAAGCTTCTGAATTTTTAAATAAAAAACGTATTGAATTATTTTGGTTCGGTTGGCTCTATTGACCTTTACTTGACAGTGCCATGACCAGAAAAGGGACGGAGAGAGGGAGAGAAATGGAGAGAGAGCTAGAGAGATGCAGGAAAGAGCAGTGGGCAGGAATGAAACTAAGGCTGCTTTCAATAACGTACATGGGACGCCTACTCAATCCACAAAGCTAAAGGGCAGCCCAGTTTTTATTTTTTGGCAGAAGTGATAATGGTGTGTATTTACACAACACGTTGCATGTAAAAACAGGTACTTTCCAGGCAAGGACAGGATATGATATGTAGAATATTTTATTAATGGCTGGAAAATGTTAGATACAAAATAATGGCAATTTTTACCTATTAAAAGTCATGTCTGAAGATAATCTAATAAAATTAATAAATACAAAAAAATGAGAGCAAAGCTGTTTGTCACGTACACAAATTGAAACTGACTGAGTCATTATAGCTCAGCAGGAGGGCGGTGGTATCTGGTAAGAAACAAAATGGGAACATCTGGATTTGTGATAAACACCAAAATGGTGCAATCGCATCAGTTAAAAAAAACTGTGTCTGAACAGAACGAAAGGAATTCATCTCAGACAATCCCCTGTGGCCTCCTTGAAAAATACTCTAAAGGATATTTACCCTCCACTGATGCTGCAAGAACAAATAGAGCCTCCTGATCTGTGGCTTTATCAGAGAGGGGCATTTGGGCTGTATGTGGACTGATGAATGGTTTCGGTTTTTACCGTCTCTCTATAAAATCTGGCGTTGCGGCGGAGTTTTGCCGGCAGAATAAACGCTTACTGTGTTATGTTGTAGATGGACAAATGGCCAAGCTCAAGTGTTTGCGGTGGTTATTGGTGAATCCCATGATAAAGGAGCTTCAGATCACGAGCCGAAGGATCATCCGTTCTCGTGTCAGTCCGCCACGAGAGGTAGACGGCGTTACTGATGGATCGATGGGTAGCCAGGCAGAAGTGAATCTGTAATTATTTCCGCGACCATCCGTCAAGCCGGGGTTCTCATGTTGGGAAGTGTGAAGAGCCAGAACAGAACAACAAAACCGCCGGCTTCAAAGGCAGATGTTTCCCAGCGATAGAGTATGGTAATGTTTTCGGAGCACGGCCCTTTCTTGTGCCTCATCAGAAACTTGAGCTAACCGCAGGAGAGCTCTTTGGTTATGTGTGCGTGCCTGCCAGACCTTGTTGTTGTTGTTGACAATCACCATGGACTGTCATAATTTGCATCCCTGCAGTCAACATGTCTTTAAATCAACATCTGCCATAAACACCCTCATGGTGGGATTATGATCTCATTATCCTTTGTTGTGCACACGTGTTTGAAGCTATCTCTGGAGGAAGAAAGGAAGAAAAGAACTGCTGAGACTAAGCAGTAAGTCTGAGATGCTGTGGTGACTACATTAGTGTAGTAACAAGCTCTAACTGCTGTGAAATGAACCACTTGCTTCCACCTGAGATGCGTTATAGCTTTAGGTTTATTGCTCAAGCATGCATCCATTAGAATAAGTATTTAATGTTGAGGTTATTTTAAAGTCTTTTCAACAACTTTAGAGCTGCAAGTTTTTAGAACATCGAAATTAAGGGAAAGGAAAAGCCCCATCTTTCATTTCTAAGGCTTTTATTTATCTGGACAGAATTTAAAACATCTGGTCCCTGCGGGGTCTTGGAATTTAGATTAAATTCATTTGACAGTTTGAACCTGAATGATCTCTTTTGTACACTTCAAACCGAACCCAGGATGTTTGGAGAAAGCCAATCGCAGCTATTTAAGGACTGCAGCCTGCTGCTGGAGCGCTGAGGATTTGCCGATGTTCTGCTTAGCCACTCGTTGAGTTAGACCACAGGCTCCCATACGTCCCCTTCACAATTGTAGAGCCAAATGTGAGTCAAACGGCAAAAGGTTGGGTGAAATCGCACAGTAAATCTACAGGAGACTGTCTGGAAATGAGAAAAGAAACGAGGTGTTGGAATGGTTCAGTCAAAGTTCAGACATCAACCTGATTGAATTTTTAGATTTAGATTTTAGATTACTTGTCAATAGATAACATCTTTGGATTAAAAGAGGCTGTGCTGTTTTTATCTCAAATTATTGTATTTACACTTGAAGAAAAAAACAAAAAGGGGCAGAGGGCTACTATAAACAATTTTCTATAGTGAGGCTCAGTCAGTTGAACCGCTTTTAGAATGCATTTTTCATCCTCTTACTGAACACCTGTGTCTGCATTATAAAAATAACTGAAGGTCAGATCATTACCTGTGTGCTCTTGTTATTAACTTGATTCATGGTTTGCCTTCCAGATGCTCATGACGCAGTTTTACGCTTCAATGCTGCACCCACGGAGGGATACGAACGAGACGTCGGGAACAAAACCACTATCCGCATCATCAATTCCCAGGTACTCCAGTGTCCGGCCTTGAATCACACAGTGTTGTGAAATATTTCTAATACCTGCGTCATTCACAAAGGCACCAGCGATATGAGGAAAAGGTGTTTCTCTGAATTAATATGGACTTTTGTGGTTGTTCTCCCCACAGTCATGTCTCTTTTTATCTACCCCCCCCCCCCCCCCCCCCTAAATTCATATTTACTTTAAATGTTTTAAAATGGTCAGTTTGATCAGTTCAGTCAACTGTTGATCAAGCAGCAGCCTCTATGAACAAAACTGAGTTCCAGAGATGTTTTATGTCCTCTCTGTAGCAGGCGAATTAGGGGGAAAAGAACAAAACAAAAAAGCCAAAAGATATAGAGATCAGGCCCTTGTAAGGATTTCAGACGTCTTCCTGTGTCTGTCAATGAAGAAATAATCTTCCACAAACTGGCAGCTGATTCAAGAATTGCTGCAGCTCCCAGAAGTGCCCCTCTTCCAACCTGCTTGCGTCTGGCTTGAAAAATCGCATTAAGACCTAAAACAGATCCATCGCAGGGCTCTCAAGAGTCACTTTCATTTAACCTGCATGGAAAACCTTTGAGATGTCAGTCATTGGAAATCTCTTCACTTTGTGTTTTCCCCTTAATTTTTATTAAAAAACAGCGGCCTTGTTTCAGCCTTGTTCACCTTGGCTGTGCCTCTGAGTACTTTTTATCCCGTACTTGTGAGCACTCCAGAGAGATTGCAGATCTTGAGTCCAGGTGGAAGTCAAGATAAAGGATTTCTGGCAGCTTTTTCTTTAATTTCCTCCACAGTTAATCTTAACTGTGACTGTTGTCAATGCGACTGGATTACTTGCACTGGAATATCAATATATACCATATATATATTTCCAATTTCTATATAGATCATTATATAATGAGGTTTCTTAGAATATTGTAAACACATTTATGTAAAATTCCTTTAGGATGCACCTCCCCTCATTACCAAAGTTGATATCCCCCAAAACACCCATCAGACCTACACATTTGTGAAACTAATTTTTTCTTTGTTCCCATAGAGTAAAACCATTGTCTAATCTGAGCTGTCTCTGTGTTCAGTTCTGCTTTTATGCTGCATCCTAAATTCTTAGTCCATTATGGTCAACAATGCAATATTTGTAATGTGCTTTCAATGATCATAAATCCTTAAGAACTGACTGGCAAACCTGTGGCTTTCTGCTCATTTTAGTCTTTAATTCTATAGCGTGCAGCTTTGGATTGAACTCTTTCAGAGCGGTAAAGCGCTAAGCTGCTGACAAGTGGTTTGTAAAGGGGGAAAAAGTATCCAAAAAGTAAATTACCATTTTCTGTTTAGCATTCTGGTGAGCTTAAAAACAACTTTGAAAAAAAAAAGAAAAAAGAATAGCACATTAATTCCTCTTGGTAAATCCTTTCCATATTTACAAGCGGAAGGATTTAGAGATCCATTCCTATTTTTAATATTTATGCAATCAGGCCACAAAACAACTTAACAAAGTTATTATACTGAATCTTTATCCAGTCGTGGCCCTTAGTGACAGATTAATACATAGAGAATGTGCCAATATTTCAGCGTGAGGGCAGAATCCATGTGGCTGTTTGTGAGCTGTGCAGTTTCACACTCTTCTCCCCTCTGTTAAAAGTAACAGAGAAACTTGAACGAGAGTTGTTAAAGCGGAAAATTTAGCAGAATCATTGTAGATTATGAGCTCAGAGCGTAGGAGAGGAGCAAAAAAAGGGTGTGAGGGCTGAAACTAAACAATTAGACATTTTATCATTGATTTTGTGAGCATGTTGGTGATATTGCCAGCAATAAAGTGATGAATATTTAAACAGTGCAGCCATAGAAACTGCATTAATGTGGATTTAGGAGGGATAGCGTGAGACTTCTTGAAATCTGTTTATTACTTTGCTGAGGACTGTATTAGTGTTTTATCTGTTTAGTTATGAGAGGTTTTCCACACTATTTTTCAAGATAAATCAAGAGTTGCATATGACTACAAAAAAAAGCCGGGGCACGGCACACGGGTAAACTGCATCCTGTCATGATGCTCAAACAGCTGCTGGCTGTAAACTGATTTTCATGTTGCATGTTAAACTGATGAATCGCAATAGAACGGTAGCACAGTGCTGATTTTCTTGATGGTTCTTCTGGAAAACATGATCCCTTCTGCTTGTCTCTCCTTGACAGATTCTGGCTAATCCCAAACATCGATTCAACACAAGCTCCATCTACAAGAATGTAACCCTGGTGGCCTGGGACCCTGCGCCTTACACTGTTAATTTACACAAGGTACGCGTGTGGCTGTGGGGGGATGTTCATCATGTTTCCATAGCAACCACAGTGGTCATTTCAAACTTGGTATCGGAGCTTATGTCCTTGCGGTGGAATCCTTTCCCTCATCTGTACCCGTTCCATCCTGCTCTCCGTGCACCCCCCCCCCCCCCGCCTGTTTGTGTTGCGTCCCTCGTTCAGATGTTCCACTTCCTCATCCGCTCCCCTGTGTGTCGCACCTCCATTTAATTGTTTTCCAGTAAATTGTGCGTTGCGGCAGTCAACGAGAGCCTGGACTTTGGTGTTCATTTTTGCAATTAGAATTGATTTGAATCCAAGCTGAAGGTAGCGTGTTCGTTGAATGGTTTGAATCATTTGGCTGTATTAAAAGTGGTCTCGTCATATTAATTTTCCTTTTGTCATTTCATTAGAAAGGAGTTCTAATGGAATCATCCAAAGCGAAAATCACTATTTGGCCATTTGATTTCCAGCAATGCAGCGTCCAGAAACTATAATTCTGTTTTTATTGAGCTTTATTTTGAACCACTAAAAATATGAACAGTATTAAAGCAGGAAAGAATACAAAACCAAACCAAGCTCATAGACATGCACAAAGGAGAAGATGGGCATCCTTGTGAACGCAATAATGGGATTTTTTGTTAAAGGATGTTTTTCCTACACCTGACCTGCATCACATGGCCAAGTGAGACAAATTATTAACCTGCACAAATACAAACTGTGGAATTTTGTTTCTGGATTCAAGTGTATTGATGTCCTTCTGCTTCCCAGTTAACGTCTCTTTATTTGTTTGGTGCCCCTATTGAATGCGTTTCATGGCCAAATGACTCATTGCTCTACTCCAACTAAAAGGTTTGTTATGCTGCATCTTAAAATGGACTGTTTACTACTTTTATCGTTAATGTCTCATTGACCAGTGACGGACGGACAGTATATAACAGGGCGAATAATGACGCTGTGAGATTAACAATGAAACATTTGATTTAGCCTTTCAATCTATTGTTTGACAAAACTTTTAGCAAAGCGTCACTATACTTTTAAAATGTTTTTGGTCCTATTCAAAAGTATTTCTTATTCAACTGTGCCATTTTTAATCACGGAACAAAATTGCCGACCTCACACCCTGCTATTAGGAGGTGATATTTCTCAATGGTAATTCAATATTTTCACTCTATTCTGTTGCAAGTTGGTGATGACTTTCCAGTTGAACTGCAAAGGCAGACAGCAGATAGATGTTCAACCCATCTATTGTTTTGCTTTTTTAAATTACAAGTAACTGTTCACATTTGAAATGCTAATTATATCTTTATGCACATGGTTTGACTTGTTGAACTGTTTTCTATACATAAACAATTTTTGCCATCTTCAGGCAGCATTGTTGTGCTGAGTATGTAATGAGTCTTTTTTTTTCTGATAAGAGCCTTAACATTTTCCAGGCTCTTTTTAGCTAATTTGTTTTTATTTTGATAATACTGGATCAAAATGTGTTCATCCCAAAACGGCTTTCATGTCCAGAGATGAAATGGTCTCTTCCTAACAGCTGAAGCGGATATAAATCTGCAGGAGCAACTGTCAATATCAATTAATTTCTCTAAGATGGCTGAACTGAGGGGTTTCACTTGAATTAACATTAATGAAGCCATGTGGTAGAATGACCCTAAAGCTAGAGCTCTAAGAGCATCCTTATTTATCCTGGTTACATCATTTGTTTATGTGGTTTCTGCTGCACACATGGCATGCTTTTGAGGTCTGGGTCAGACCTTTCTAGTGACATTGATAGAGTTGCCACTTTTGAAACGGATACATTTCTTTCTACCGTTTTAAAAAAAAAAAAAAAAAAAAAAAGAGTAATGACACAAATGTATTTCTTTATATGTTTTAATATTAATGTGGTATAGTTGAAAGTTTTGACCTTATCTGAGTTATCGTATCTTCATAAGCTGTCATGTTTAGTTGTTTTTGTAAGGAGGGGGATTTTTAAAATGTAAACCCATGTTCATACGTGCATATGAGTCTGTGGTTAAAAAGGCAGATTTCAAAGCATAACCTGGCGTTGGTTTGCAGTAAACGGAGGAGGACAAAAAAAATAGCAAGGCTTTAAAAAAAAAAAAAAGGCAAGACCTAGAGGTCGGCCAAGAAAACCATTCAAGTTTGAGGAAACAAACCCGGAAGCAGTGTGCCTTTAATGTAGAAAAACAGGTTCAGGATTCAGTGTCTGCCACAGAACTGCAGACGGTGTTTAAAGTGAGTTTGAACAAGGAAAACAAAAATACAAGCCATCAGTTACACCTAAAAAGAAGAGGAGTTTGCTGAGGGCTGAAGAGAAGCAGACTGTGGCTGATGGAATGAAAACGGTACGCAGTGATGAGTCACGAATCTGCATTTTACGAGGAGATCACATCATCCCGCTCTCTTAGTCCAGCACAAAGCTAGAACAATGACTCCCCCCAAGAAACCAAGCTGTTTTCCAGTCACTGATGATTGATTATTATGATAGAATAAAATATTTTGGATTGTTTTGTCATTCAGTTGTGTCCAAAAACAGCTGTGGTTTAGCTGGAGTTATTATCTAGGGGGAAATGGATCTAATGAAAAAACAAGTGGCATTCAAACGTTCTTTTTTTCAAAGAGCGTTATGACTAAATGTTTTCATTTTAAAAAAAGTTTTATTTTTTTACTTTAATAAAGCATTAGCATAACTGTCCATTTTAAAATGTTGCTTACAGTCTTGGGGGTGGGGGAATACATGCTTTAAATCAGGTTGTAAGTCAAGTTAAAAGTCATTCCCTCCATCTGTGCTGCTTACAGGGAGGTTGACAGTTGAAAGGCATGTTGGGAGATTTTAATTAAGATGCAGAATCCAGCATTATTTTGGCTCAGATGAAGAAATGCTCTTTCTATGCGTCAGGTGTGATGAGAGATCTGAAGGGCCAGTTGATCAGGGAGATGAAAGGCGATTTGCGTTCCCCCCATCAAATAGAGCATGTCCACCGTTTCATTTTCTTTATTGGTTTACACGTGGCTGTGTTTGTTGTTTGTTTGTTTTATGTTAGGACCAGCAAGCGGTATAATTGGCCTATTTTCTAAAGATCGCCTCCGGAGATTTCCTAAGAAAAATATGCCTCTCTGAAAACATCTGCTAAACACCTGCCCTCACCTGACACACACTTCAGAGAGGGTTAGGGTTAGTGTGACCAGTTCCACTCTGACGAGGGAGCTAACGACCAACCAAAACCCCTAATGACCATTAACACCCCCCCGGGTGACCTCCGTGGCCCACCCAGTAGGAGTGGGCCACCTACAGTATATTAATCTCTTTGCTCCACACCAAACATCTTCTAGAAAAGTGCCTAAACTAAACTTTTCAAGCTTGACCGTGACCCTGATGACTGGAAATCCTCACAGATATTTGCTAAAGATAATGTTTCTTTGTTGAATCAGATGTTAAAATCCAAGCGTAGCTGGAAGCTTGATATTGCTTATTTACGTCAAGTATCTACAGTGCTCTTTTAGAATGAAAGGGATGAGTTCACCAGTGGGAAATTTCAGTGGCATTTGGAATTTTGACGATGTGGAGATATGGCTATACATTCCAGCACGTCTGAAGCATTTCAAGAGTCTAAACAATCGCAAGCCAGTCTGTTGAACTGATTTGTGGCAAAATCAGCGTTGATTTTCCCTCCTCTTCTTTTCCCCCCAGTGGTACGCCAGTCCAGACTACAACCTGTTCGGTCCGTACGTGGAGCACCGGAAGCGCCATCCTGAGCAGCCCTTCTACATCCTTCACCCCGGATACGTGTGGCGACTGTGGGATGTGATTCAGGGCAACACTCAGGAGAACATCCAGCCCAATCCTCCCTCATCTGGCTTCATCGGTGAGCACCTGCATGCGCGTGTTTCAGACCAGGCTTGTTTTCTTCTGTACCGTTATCGTACCGTTATCTTTCCATGTCTTGTCCCGCGCCCTTTCTTTATCATTCTATCTTTGATGGGTTCTCACCATGCCTTGTGTACTCTAACCCTAACCACAACATGGCTGCTTTACCTTAGGCCTCACTCCGACCTCACCCGAATTCTGAGAGCTTAAAGACTTTTTGGAATTAGGTGTTGAAACGCACCCACACAATACAGAAACATGCAGAAAACCAATATACTCCTCTCAGGTCCAGGGTTCTGTTTTCTTACAAATATCGAGTGGTTGTTCTTTTTTTCATACCCTGTAAATGGAGAAAAACAAGCTGTTTGCACTCGGGCGTTGTGAGTTTTCTTCCTCGGCGTGGGCAGAGGCTCGATCAGTATGCAGCCTTACTCTTCGGTCCATGCTTGAGGTGACGGAATTGTGAGGACTGTTAAGCTCGTCTGAGAAGCTGTTCACGGCGTCTATGCATTCATGACAGTCTCATCCTCCTCTGTTTTTTTTTTTTCCTCTGATTATTTCTTTCCTCCCCCTAGATGTCTCGGTATTAGCTGGCCTCCACTACGGTATGTTCAGAGGAAATCCAATTACAGCAGGAAACTGTCTGAGCGACAGACCATTATTCTTATATTTGATCCCTAGTATCTGCTGGCATTTTCACTTATGCTATTGAGTGTTCCCAGTATAAGTGTTTCTTTATATGCTTTTATTTAAAACATTTCTGTTCACAGATTTAATGAAAGGCTATTAAGAAATAATTGATTTTTTTTGGTTTGCAGAGGCTTGTTACAGGGCTTGGTGTTGTGGTGCTTAGCACAATTTGGCTATATGTATGTATATGTAAAAATAATACTGGGATTTAAAAAGGGAAATTCAAATTATATAGTGTTTAAATAAGAAACAAAAACACTCAGGAAAGCTAAAGTTAAATTAGCATGATTTAAAGTAGCTGACAAGAGGTGACTCTTGTGGTTGCTAAAATATTTTTTTAAGGTTTTACATTTATACTACACAACTTCCAATTTTTTTCTTTTTTGTTTATTCAAGAAGAAGAATGGGACACACACTGTCACAGTAGGATGCACAGAACCACTTAAGACTTTAGATTTAGATGTTATAATGCTATAGAAATGATGAATATTTTGTCTAAAAAACAAAAGGTGTCTGCAGACATATAGAATAGACGACTCAAATATCGGATGCAGTCACTTAAAGAGAAAAAACAGTGTCCTTCTTCCCATGCTTGGTTTGTGAACATTTTTGCTGGGGCAAATAAACAAATTCAGCAAACCGCCAGTATGGGAAAGTTCTTCTGCAATTAAGATGATTGATAACTCTGTTGAGAAGTACAAATCCTAGACTTTAAACGGCCGATGATTCAACAGTGAGTCAGTCCTGAGACCTGACACACTCAGCAGAAATGCACCCAAAACCCCACAAATGAGTACTGTGGGATTGAGCCAAACGTTGGGCACGTTCTCTAGGGAGCTGCAATCACGACAACATTCCATCCAGTCCAAAGAAGGCCGCTATGCAACCTTGAACAATAATGAAAAAGATTTCCTCTGTCATTCAAGTAACCTTTTGGAAAATATTACAGCTGCTGAACTGGATTTAATGACGATCGGATGGCTAATTTAGAAGGTCAGCCCTAATGGTGACATAATATCCTACTAAAACAATTTTCTGGCCATTATCTAATATCAGAACAGAAGGAGAGTTGTCAGCATATTTCACATTTATAGAGATTCTGAAATTATTACACTAATCATGCGTGTTCAGGTACCAAATTGATTCTAAATGCTATTTAAAAAGTGCTCTGGATACCTCATCATATGCAATCATATTACATTATATGGAGGCTATCTTGCGTGAAAAAGTACAAGATTTATGTACGGTAATATTATTGCTGAGGTCCCAAATAATAAAAAAAAAGAAACAGCTGCTATTACAGGCCGCCCACACACACCTTCCGGTCTTTGATTTTATCAACGCATATCAAAATTATGCGACTGAAAATACACGTTTAAAGTAGCACACGCCTGGGATTTTGGGAGGGAATTATTCTGGTCCAGTGGTTCCAATGGTAAAGGCAATATCAAAGGAAGCCCAGAAGCTCCTTTCTGTGTTTAGAGAACTTCAACAGCTGCTGCTCAGACATTTCCGTGTCACTTGATTCAGTTTGGAGCCGTCCTAAGCACAGAAAAACAGTCCTATCAGACCTCCATGAAGTAGAAGGCCAACTCTTTCTATTAATAAAGATCAACTTTACATTCTGTTTTAGACTAGATTAAAGGCGTGCAGTGTGTCGTTCTACAACGTTTGTCTTTTATTAAAACAATTAAATCCAACAATTGAACACAACCAAACAAATGAAGATCAAAGTAGATTCCAGAGGGGCTCCAGTCAGATTGTCAGACACATTGGGCTTCAGGTGTAAGCATTTCTGGGGGGAAGCAACTCTGAATCAGCTGCAGTTTCCCACCCCCCGCTAGTTTGTACTTATCGGCTGCGATATTAATTATTGGTTTTCTGAACAAGATGGATGAACCCCAGAGAAGTGTTCATGAATTTTCATAACCACCCTTAACTCTTGCATCACAGCACTCCCCCCTCGGATGTTGAACAGCCGCCCTCCGACATCACAATTTGCTCTTTGGTTGCTAATAATTTGTGTTTCATTAAGCAACACTGCAGCTTTGCTCCCCGGAGAGCAGAGCTTTCTATTTCAGTACAGGTCAGTAATTGTTTATCTCTCGCCGACCGTTGTTCACCACCAACTCTGGGCTTAATGTATAAAAAATCACATGCAGTAAGATAACATAAACCATATTACAGATGATACATTAAGACACAAATGAATCCATGCAGACCGGGGTTATGGAGCTTGAAGTACAACGAGAAGGCCAGCGTGAGGTTTGTGTAAGAACTCCATTTTAATTCAGATGAACACATCTATCCACCAAACTACTGACTGAAGCACGGTTTGTACAGTGGCACAGAAGACAAACTGACCGAAAAGCAACAAAGAAGAGGCACTAGGTTTTTGTTTATGGAGAAACGGTAGACGGAAATCACATCCTGCATTTCAAACAAAGAATTCAGCCAATATTAAACGTATGCTTCTACATGGTAACGTTGGCTACGATTTTTGTCGTTGAGGAATGCAAATGCACTAATGCCACTGAATCCTTGAACTTGCCTTGGCGGGGTACAATATCCCTTGGCGGCTTCGCAATCTGCAAAATGGATCATAAGATCGTATATAGGTTATGTATAGAAAGACAACCGTTTGGACCTGTTGGTGCAACCCAGTCTCGTGGTAAAACGTGAAGTAACCGTATGAATTTAATCAACGGATTTGTATGCACGGGCGAGTTTTTAGCTGGATTTTTGTGCGTGCTACTGAACATGAGAACAACCTCACAGCCCCCTGCGTCACACATTGACGACTGCTTCACATTTAGCAGGAGAAAAACTCTGTGTAGTCGCATATTGTGTTACATTAAGTGTTACCTTGTGCTTCCCTGTTTTGTCACGTAATGCATTACAAGTTAACTTTGTTAGTTTTTAAAAAAAAAGCATAAAAAAAGAGGTTGAGAATAGGAAGGTTGTGCCTTGTTTTAATACGGATCATTTTGATAACGTCTTATGGAAATCATTGCTTTGAAATAAAATGTATAGATGTCTTCTTAATTTCCTAAACTGAAAACTCTCGTCACATTTCGCTGTGAGACTGGGCTACGGACGACAATAAATGCCGAATCGGCGTCACTTTTTGGCATTGCGCATGGGCAAATATCGGGTTACGTTTTTAGGGACCAATGACACAAGCCCTGTTCGCAGTAATGAGAGGGGAAATCTTCCTGAAGGTTGCGGTGTTCGGTTTTTGTTGATTAAACTTGGCGGGGGAGGCTTCATTGTTTCAATCGGCGAGGCCAAATAAAATTGATTGTGCGAATCGTTTACGAGTCATGAGGGGCTGTTGTGCTGCTGTAGCTTAAATAAGCTTTCTCTAGGTCTGTTTTGATAAAATGGCAATTGTGTATAGTTTTAGGAGCCACTGAGAGCGGGAAAGAAAGCCGTTGTTTCAGCAGAGGCAAAACCCGCCATAAGCACCCCGGCTGACAGTGATGTTTCTTTTGTAGCTTTGAGTTCTGGCACGTTGAGTGAGCTGCATGATGTTCACGTATTTCACACTAGAAGAAAACGCACACCGCTTCTCAACTACCTTTTTTTTAAAAACGTTTAATCAAGCCTGTCACTTCACTCTTGGCTCTTTGCCTTTCTCTTTCAGCCACTCTTTGTGCTATTTTCTTCTCATTGCCCCCCCCCCACCCCGTTTATTTCCAGCATTGTCTCCAGAGGGGCGAAAGGAGCTCCATCATTTGTCGAACTTTGTCTGTCTGAATGACTGTTATTAGCTTGTAAAAGGGGAAGCAAGACAGGCAGACGGGGCATAGGTGTTTTAAGAGGAGTACCGTGACAAAGGGTGTGTGGAAAAGGAATAAAAGTCCAAATAGGCAAGTACTCTTTGGAGCAGAAAGCTCACAGGAAAAGCCCAAAGTCGATTAGAATAAGCCGTGTGGCCCGACCTGTTTTTGTCCACCTTTTGGGCTGGTCGCACACAGATTAGTGGAATATTCACCTTGTGTTCTGTTGGCGTAGTGAATGCTAAGCACACACAACGCCATCGGTTCAGCGTGGATAAAACTCAGGCTGCACACACACACACACACACACACACACACACTCACACACAAACGGAGCTCTGACCTCGTAGGACTGACTTGCCAACCGGGCCTTATCGCCCAGCATCAGCCGCCGGCCTCATCCCGCCGCGGCGGCGCTGGAATGAGCCCCCGCTGCCAGGCTTCAGAGTCTTGCGGAAAGTCTTCCTGGAATAACGAATCCCGCTCCGAGACGATATTAACACAAGTGGTTTCCGTTTGAAATGTTGGATGAGCAACACCGATGCACTGGCTGTGTTCTCACATAGATGGAGGGATTTGATATACACAATTTTAAAACATGTAGTTTGGTGGGGTGTTTTTTTTTGTTTTTTTTATAACATTAAAAGCAAACGTAAAGTTACAGAGTCCCTTTGTGGACTAACACAAGCTCACAGACAGACGTTAAGCCTTTTTTTCAGTTTTTTTTCTTCTTTTTTTTCCTTTTTCTTGTAATGCTTCATGCTTTGGTCCACGTGTCACTGTTGTTGGCTGAAGTGTTACTTTGAAGCGCAGTTATTGGTGGATTCACAGGCTGAAGCTCAGCCTTTAGCGGTGTCCTCGGGGAAGCGGCGGGGATGGGGGGGGGGGTCTGCACTAGTTGAGGGCGTCTGTGGAGATCTGGGCCACCGTGTTGCTGTAGACCCTGCGGTTCAGAGGGATGACGGTGGTTTTGGAGGGCATCGAGGTGTTGCCGTTCTCCGACGACCAGTGGTCACAGTGGAACAGGATCAGGAAACACTTGTAGAACTGTGGACAGAAAAAGCTGTGTGAGCACATCGTCCAAAACTCAGAGGTCCAGACACCTTTTAGACAAACAGAACTCAGAAAATTAGATTTACGGTTCCAGCAATGATTTTTCTTTTTTCCCCTCCAGTTCTTCACACACAGATGTTCCGACCAAGAAAAAACTTAGAGAAAAGTTATAGAAACTACTTTCAGAATTATTTTTTTTCTAAATGTCATAAAAATGTTTTTTTATGCTAAGCATATCTACTGATGGTGTCCAAAATGTTGGCATCTCTTTTTAAATAATTATTTTATTTAATATGATAGTATACTGTACTTCTGTCCCTGCATAAAGCAGTGTGCAGATCTACATCGTTGCAGATCAGATTTTCATCTACAGCTCATCTGAAGTTGATTTTTTTTTTTTTTTTCTCCCCTTGCCTTTTTAAAATGGGTCCTATTAAGAAAACAATACTTGGCTTGCTAACCATGTTCGCTTGACAAATACAGCCTGTCGGAGGGATTCTGCTCGGTAATTTTAGAACGTGGACGCCGATGAGCAGCTGTGGACAGGGAGTGGAGATGGTGGAGGGTTTGCATGCAGAATAACGAGGGAATGATTAGCAGGAATTGGCGGAAAAGTGTGAATCCAAAAGGCATATCAAAACAAGAGAAAGTAGCTGAATATGCGTGCTCACCGCTCTCTGTTGCCAGAATTCGCCAGTGAATGGGAGACCTTTCATGGCTATGCACACGGTTCTTATATATTCGGTCTCCAGTCTGGTTTTCTCTTATTTGGAGTTGCTTCTGGCTACACGTGCTCCCACATCTCAGCTGCAGCTCTTGTTTACACTTGAAATCACATTTTCTCCTGTGAGCGCTCTCCAATCTCTGGCACGTCGGATATATAAGGGAGAAATGTATGGTTGAAGGCTGTGTCAGATGTGAGGAAAAGTAACACATCTGGCAGTTCAGATTTGTTCACCAGGGCGTGCGTTTGGCTTGAGTGCACATGGACGGTGTCCGACGTGTGAACCTATAACGGCCTCTCAGGCACAGCTGTGTCAGAGTGCATTTCATGAAACTGCTTCTCTTTTTTTTACCTATCCTATTTTTCTATAACCTTTCGGAGTCTCGCTATATCTGCGTATAATCACCTTTTACACCACTTTATATAACCTGACACTCCATGCGTTACATGTCAAGGTGCGCTAATCTCAGATATCAGTTCTAAGCATTTGCTTTTGTCCCAGAGTGCCACGCAGGCTCATTTACTTTGGCCTGTGGTAAAGCTTTGATAAATCCCCGAGGCCAAAGTGAGGTTGGCAAAAAAGCTACAGGTTGAAATGCCTTCTGTGTGTGTGTGTGTGCGTGTGTGCTCACATTGCAGGTATCCTCCTGATGATGGCGCTGTGCGAGCAGGTGCACGTGTACGAGTACATTCCCTCCACGAGGCAGACTGACCTGTGCCACTACCACGAGCGCTATTACGACGCCGCCTGCACCCTGGGTGCCTACCACCCCCTCCTCTACGAGAAGAGCCTGATCCAGCGGATCAACACGGGCCCCGAGAGTGACCTCAGGAGGAAGGGACGCGTCTCCCTTCCAGGCTTAAGCACCGTCAACTGTGACATCTGAAATGAAACCTGACCCCTCTGAGCCCGAGGATACGCACACACGTACACACACTTTGGCCTTTTTCCGGCTGACCAAGGGGGAGGTGCAATAAAGCCACAGCAGGAAAAAAAAAAAAAGAAAAAGGAAAAGGCCGAAGCGTACGAGTTTCAAATTAGACCCATGAAGAGCATAAGCCATAGCCCTCTAGGGAGGGATGAACATGGAGTTTTTTCTGAAAGACACTGTCTCCATCAAAGATGGTTTACTTGACTAGAGACTACAGCTGGAGGAGGGGGGGGACAAAAGCAAAAAGAAAAATGCGAAGTTTTCTGCTTTTAGCTGAGCCACGCTAGCTGTGGAGCTAACAAGGTTAGCAACAGATCTGTGTTTTAGATAGATTGAATTTTCAAATAACTGGGTGTGTTGCATTCGTGTAAAGTCTGTCTTTTGCAGTAGTGAGGGTGCTTCTCGCCTTAACAGAGAAGTCGCTGTTGGGTTTTTTATTTTAATATTTTTTTTATATTTTCTTCACTGGTGGATGGGGGTGGGTGGGTATGGATTAAATGGACCATCCACTCTGAATGTCTCAAACGACCACACATGGTTTCATCGATGTTTAGCAGCGACTCGTGTGGAAGAATGC